GCAGCGGCGGGCCCTGACCTTAGGGTGTGTGCTGATTGCAGAGTAATGTTCAGCTTTCGGTGCACACGCTCATGATCAGGGTTATCTTGTCAGGAAGCTTCTGTCTGTGCCTGCCCGCTCTCTAACATCAGCTGCCAGTTGTAATTGGCCATGACTGAAGAAGCATGTCTCGTTTGGCAGCCACTCATCCATGCTCTCTATAAAACACACACATATGTTGCTCTTGTTTCTGAATGTAAGTAGCACCTTACAAGCAACACTACATGAAATAACCCTGACTTCTATAGGTCAGGTTACGTACGTTTGTGTAACCTTTTCCAAGATCCCATTTCCTCCACATTTTTCCTCCTGCACTAACACACTGTTTGTGCAGCTGATGACCATCATACTGGCTGGGGCTAAACTGAGTTTAAATGAGTATTGAAATACAAATTATTTCAGCCATCAATTCCTTTCTGAAGGGTTAACTGCTTGCAAGGAAAAGTTAATTATATCCTTTGGGAAGAGTGTAGGATTGATGATGGAGTGCTCTGTGTATGGTATAAATTGATGGGGAAATAATCAGGTGCAGCCGACCAGACGCATATAGCAGGATCTCGAGGAAAGAGGAATAGCAGTATAAGTCTTTAACAGTCGATTTAGGAAAAAAAAAAGATGTTGCTTGGGAATAACTGTGCTCTCAAAAATGCAAAGCTGCCTGGGGCAATGTTTTAATGTAATTATCTGCTCATTATGTCAGCTTGAATGAAGAAAAGCAGCCCATCCCCATTTGTAGGCGCTGTTTGCTCAGTTACAGTATAATTCAACTGTTAGTTCAGTCACAGTAAGGAAGACTTATTGACAAATCAATGTGCACTTGAACAAAATCAATCAAAACTAAGGGTTGAACTGTTAAGTTCAGACAACTCAATCTCGAACCCAGTTCTTCATATTGTTTTTTCAGAGCTTACTAGCATATCACACTATCTTTAAATGCAGATCAAGATGTATTCCATTGTTATGTGAATGTAAATGTTTAAACTTTTCATATTTTGAGCACTTCATCGGTCATCATATTGCAAGTTTTAGGCTGAGTAGCATTGCTACTTGCGTAAGATGAGGTAGGAAACACAACCTATAGGTTAGTCAAACTTATTTGAAGATTTAAAAAGAAAATAAAGACCCAAACCATCTGTATAAACATCTATCAGTGTCAGACTGTATATTCTAAGGACATTAGGCTTGATTGTTTTTTTATATACTTAGGTACCAACGTTTCTTAACTTTCTCTCTTAGTTTCTCACTGTGTTGAGTGGGTTTTTACAGCAAGAATACACAACTTTTGTATGTGTGTTAATATTATGTCTCAGAGAAAGTCTGCAATGTTTTTTTTCTTCTTTAAAAATTGATGAAAGTTGAAATAGATATGGGTAGATTTAACATTTCTAATCCCGTTTAATAGCAAAAATATTGTGGGCTGTAGCTGATGAATTATCAGTGTTTTCATTGGCTTTCAGTCATTATTGGCCTTTATCTTTTTGCCAATTTCTTAATGAAACCAAAACAAGTAAGGTTGTGACAAACTGTATCAATCAAAAGTAGATTCTAAAGCAGTCTTCTGACATCACCTTACAGGGTTTTATGGCTTAAAAATATCAAGATATTATGTTCCCTCTGCATCCATTTGAGACAAGCTGATGGTCATTCAAATCTGTGAAGTTAACTGGTAGCCTTTTAACTCTTTTTATGAATCAATTGCACCTTTTTGAGTAAAATCTAACACAATTAGAAGTCATTCAGCAGCAGCTTCAAAGTGCTGTTAGTGGTGGATGTCTGAACAGGTGGCTCATGTTTTCTTTGAGGCTGGGCATCACAGACTGTGTGTGCGTGGGGCAGGCTGAGAATGAGACTCCCTGCTGGGGGCCGCAGCCTCTGCTCCTGCAGACATGCTTTCTTGAAGAGCAGAGGTCGAGGAGAGATTGCAGCACCATGTGCCGACCGTCAGCACGCCTCACTAATGATGGTGGCCTCCGTCTGCTACAGGGGTCAATTATATGTAATGTAATTTGCCAAAGTTATGTTTTTCAGCTTGCCATGGAAGCTAATGGCTACAGACCATGTTTTTTAAAGACCATTATCATCACAAAGATTTCCGTTATGATATTTCAAGCTAGTTTCAAGTTTCAACGAGATTTAACCTACTGTTGTGAAATGAATAGAAAGCTTGGTTTTCTAGAAGAGAGAAAAAACATCCAAAAACTAAATTACAGGAGTAAAAGAAGGATGATAGATGTGCTTAACTAACCTTAATACTGGTTATCCTAGATGAAGGTTAATAGGTGGATACAAAGAGTAGAAACAGATTAACACAATCTGTATCATCATTATAGTGGTCTACAAGTAGTTTGTTATTATTTCTTTCAATACAGTCTATGCAACATACTATATGAAATGAAATAGGCATGTCTATCTAAAATACACATAGACATATTTGATATGATTCTTCGTACTGATGTGCTACCATCACTGGAGCATGTGCCCATTTTTACTCCATGTCACTTATATGCACCTTGACTGGGTGATTTTCGCAGCTAATGCCAATATTTTGGGCCAGCTTTAATGTACTGTATATATCATAGTACTTTAATTGTTCTTATCTTAACCCCTCATAAATATTTTATAAGTGAAGTTGTTAATCAGCACCATAGGGCGAACTCAACTGAGTTTTGTTATGCTGAAATTAAAGTTCTCATTCTGGTTCTGAATTTAATATAGTTCCTGATTCCATACTGCACACAAAATATGATTAATTGTTTTATTTATTTTTGGACAATCAGAAAAAAGTGAAGAGTAAAACAAATTAATTAGGGTGAAAAAAAACCTTGTTGTTAAGACAGAGGTTTGAGTTGGCCTCCACCATGGCGGAAGTTCAAAAGTTAAGAGGTCTCCAGTTTGTTTTGGGTACGTTTTGTCTCCTTTGTTCACAAGTTTTTACAAGTATCTTTGGCTCCTTAGCGGTGGCAGGTGGTCCTTCCTGTGCAGACGCAGTTCACTGAGCAGGTTAGTCATGAATAAATGTGTTTTTGGATAGGTGCGTTCCAGGTCACTCCTCAGTGCCCCTCTGAGCTGCTGTCTCCTGCCCCGCTGCCCTGCCAGGTCTCCACCACCGTCCCATCACACCCAACCATTAGACAGCCTTTCAAGCCAAGAGGAGACCCTGGTTGGCGGAGGGTGGCGGGGTTCAGGCTCCAGCAGCGATCAACCAGCCGCCACTGCCCGTAGAAGGAGCTACGCCTTCACCGGGGTTTTAATCTTGTGTTTTTGGCTTGCTGGAGATGCTGTGTACAGGAGGCGGGGGGGGGGGTCATGACTGCAGAGACACAATCAGGAGAGGGGTTTAAAAGGCTGCAGTGGAGTTTAACTTGGGTCCCAGCCAATCTTGATAAGTCACACAGGATTGAGGGTTGCACACCACCAGTGCTTGCTTGCAGGAAATGTGTTAGTGAATCCTGTGAGGTCTCACTGTGCTCTGGGCCAACAGATAGTCTATCATATAAACTTAAAGGAACAGTGACTTCTGAGGGAAGGGGACTGAGGTCAGATATTATCTTACTGAACACACACAATGAAGCCTTTATTTATAATTTTTACCACAAAAACAGGAAAATGTATAAGGATGGGGAAAGCAAAGAAAAAATACATGTTAACATTGACACCTATCTACAGTATAAGGACTTTTCAAACATTAGTAGAGTGTTGACACATGCCTGAACACACAGGTAGAGAAATTATCCTAATATCACAATACCATGTATATATATGCTGCATATTTATCAGAAATGATTTTTTTTTGTAATATTTGGCAGCAAAATAAATGTTTAAAAGGTATGGGTATATACAGATACACACAATACAATGGTAAAATGGCAAAACAAAGATTACACCAGCCAATTCAGGCCAGGGGGGAACCAAGCCCCTTTCTGACTTCCCGCTTGCCCTGCTCAAACCACGCCCATGTATTGACTCCGCCCTTTTTGGGATCTAAACTACACACACCTGTTTCGTGACTGCATCTTTCCTCTTGTGGTGAAACAGACATAAACAGACACCTGGCGAATTATTCATAACTTCCTCTGCGGCACACCCTGCTACAGTAGGTGTCTTCACATTTTGCCATGACGACACACACACATACACACAACACACATACACACACGCACGCACGCACCACACACACACACGCACACACACACACACACACACACACACACACACACACACACACACACACACACACACACACACACACGGTTAAAGAAACACTAGTCATCTTAAAACTAGATCAGAAAGCTTTGTTATATAAGTTAATTTTGTGATGACATACCTTTTCTAAGAAATGTTTGCATGATGAATTGACTGCCAATTAAAACTCGTGTAGTTGGATAGGCCTTGAGTTGCCCAATGTTGCCAACTTTTTCCAGCCCTTCCTCCAAAGCCACCCCCCCCCCAAAAAATATCAATCAGAACGTAAACATAGCATTATGAAAAAAATGATCACATGGCTTTTTGGATACCCAGCTACCAAGCTGGTGCGTAAAAGTTCAGGAAGTGGCTAATGTTCTCTTTTTTCGAATGTGTATCATCTTCATGTCCACTGGCTTGTGTTGACTATTTTTTGTTTTCAATGAAAGCGATCGTGTGATGGAGAAGGGAATATGACACACACACACACACACACACACACACACACACACACACACACACACACACACACACACACGCACACACACACACACACACACACACACACACACACACACACACACACACACACACACACACACACACACACACACACACACACACACACACACACACACACACATCTGGAGCGTCAGTCGACCCACACCTGTCCCGCAGCTCGGCTCGGCTCCTGACAGCAGTCCGTCCCGCAGGAGCCGCGGCGCGCTGCTCCCTCTCTTTGAGTGTGTGCCTGACATGTCTCCAGCCATGAGGAGCCCCGGAGCCCGGGCTGCGCCACTATGGCCCGGGGTCTAGCCGAGGAGGCAGCACTGAGGTCCGCAGAGAACACCTGTGTGTGGATTATTGTTGTTAATATTATTCCAGCCGCGGGACGCCAGCAGGAGCTCTACAAACTCCTCCATGATCGGGAGGGCGAGCAAACTCGGCAAAGGTAAGAGTAAAGAGGAGCACAGTGAGGAACAGAGCCAGAGATCAGGCTCTGAAGCGCATCAACTCCTATCCAAGGCACATTTTGTAATATATATGCTATATAAATGCACAAATTAAAATGGTATACAGAAATGACAATACACTACATTTTAAAATTGTGACATGACATATATTTAATTTTTATTTAACAATATTTACCTTTTTAGATTTTAAACACATGTAACTAAAAAGTAAAGCCTCATTTATAAATTGTAAGGAATAGGATAAAATATGGTAAAAAAAAGAAGAAGAATGCACACAGTGAATGGTGAGATATTGAGTCATTGTGTTGATACAGCTTCAATATAAACTCTTATAAACTTAACAATCTCCTTATAAACTGGTAGCGTTATCTACATCTCCTCATCAGATTGTTATACTATTGAACAAAATACAATTGAAAGAGATTGAGTTTACCTAATTCAAATCTTTTTATAAACAGGTAACAATTCTCTTCAATGAAACGTTTTTTTTAAGATAGTTGTACAGTTTTATTTCGGAAGGTCATCATCTGCCATGGCAGCCTCCTTACCCTGGGTTACATCAACTGCACTTACATTTCATGTATACACAAATATGTTCATTTGTAAAATGCCTTATTATAACATTATTATTATTATATTATTATTATGATTTTTGTTGATCACTGAATTAGTAATTGTGGAAGGATATTGTATTTAGAAATTATGGATTTTTTCAAACTAAAGCCACATAAGCCCAGCCTGTTTAATTCCCCTTTTCCTGCATTTCCCCCCTTTCCTTACAATGAAGAAAACACTGTGGTTTACCCAGTATTTTTAAAATGGTAGCTTTAACTGTTTCTCATTATAACATTCTTCATTTTGTGAGAGAATGTAGATAACAACTCTGCCTCATGTTAAGAGAGATGTGTTATGAGATGGAACATTACACACTAAGACTTGTTGGACTGTGTTCAGCTCAGCTTCGGTGACTTGCTTCCCAGTCCAAGTGGCTATTTTAGGAACATCGCTGTAATGTGTTAAGGCAATATTTAACAGCTCTCTGTAGCTTTTGTTTGCAGATCAGAATCTATTTGATTCTAAACTCTATCTTTATCTATATTTAAGAATATTAGATGTGGGAGGAATTTGACATACACTTGATAAGACCTCTTGTCACCCACCCCATATGTTTTAACATTGAATCTAAAGTCTTGGTGTAATGTAGGAAAGCTTTTCTGGAAAATGCAGCTGACAGCTATCTGTGTTTTTAATTTAGTTCTACTTTTATGTATGCACCATGACACCAAGTCAAATTCCTCGTACGTGTCAACCTACCTGGTAATAAACCTGTTTCTGATTGTTATTTCTGATTCTGACTGCTCTGAGCTTTCACCTTTTAGTTTATTGTTTTGGTATTATAAAAGGCGAACTTATTTGATGGTTTATGCATTATCATTATGATTGAAGCCCCTGACCGCAGCTGCTTTTATCTGTGACAAATCCACTGTAGCCTACTTCACCTGCACAACACCAAACAGCAGTTTAGAGGCTGTCTAGGATCTGGTGAATGTTGCAGTAACAATTTGCCGGTGGACAGACTATTTATTTACTCAGCTCATTGTCCAATATGCATTTCCCCAGTAAATATAGCTATAACTCTTTTTGAACTGCCTCTTTTCAAAGGACCTGAGTCCAGTTACCCCTTCCACGTGTGCACTCTGCTGCACTCAAATACCACCCAGAGGGGCAAAGAGAATTTCAAGGGCAGGAAAATACCAAACTAACATAGCGCTAATACATAATAGGGCCAATAGGTTGCTCTGCTAAATTGGCCAGCTGTTAGCTACAGTGAGCATTTGTTGTCTTCCAAAGATAACGTTCCAAAAGCGCTTACACGAAAGTGATACTGGTTTCAAACCATCAAGGCAGATTTGTGTGAAAGTCCTCTAAATAGGACATATGTGATATTTTTCACACAACAGGAAAGCCCAATACTTATTTTATTTTGGGTAAGTTTGTCTTAACACGAAGACCAATACAGGAAGTTAATGCTATCAACATGTACTGTAATGGCGCATTTCCACTGCAGGGCCTCGCACAGCTTAGTACGGTATAGTTAGGCCTTGGTAGGCCAGGCTCACTTTATGCTGCGTTTCCATTACAATTTAGGAACTGGGGTAGTAACTATAGTAACGCAGTGTAGGCGGAGCCGTGACGTCATCTTCAATGCGAACCACAAAACCAGCATCAGCCGTTAGCTGTTAGCCCTGAGAGCTCACAGCTCCTCATATCTGTTCAGAAACTGGACAAAAGTTAAACAAGTACAAACCAGACTGCCTGTGTCATGGCGAATACAGTCGCTGGTTTATTTATGTCTGTATAGGCCGTTGTTGTGAGTGTGGACAGTCGGAGCATATACTGCGTTAGCTTAGCCGATCTCCATTCAGAAAACACGCATTTTAAAAGGTTTTTCGCTTGCCGTCTGTCTGCAGACTTGTCAAAGCATTACATTTTTACTAACCGGTATCAGTATGTTGTTACTTCGGCATCATTTTGAAACGTGTATTACAATTAAATCACGGTCAAATATGTTCATTTTGTTGTAGTTGCCAGCGATTCTCTCACTAGTTTAGCATACTCAGCCCAGTTGTTGGCCCGGAAAGAACCTCCATTTTGGAGAGCCAGAAAACTGTGAAAAAGTACCCGCTAGCCGGAACTACGCCTAGTGGAAACGCAACCACAAATGGGTCGGGCACGGCACGCTTAAACCGCGCTGTAGTGGAAATGCGCCATAAGTGCGTTTTTGTAGCAATAAAACCATTTCCCAGCTCTATGGGGCAACTATAAGAGAAAATCTGTTGTTTCTGGAAACCACCCTGATGGCATTAGTGAAACATCACGGTCAAATGGCTGTGTGTCATCACGGCTTAGCTAAAGGTAGCTAATGTTTGGAATGAAGATGTTTACCAGAGTAATGGGCTGTTAGCAGCTACTGGCAGAGTATTATACTGTTTTATTAGAAAATGTGCTAATGATCAGGCTCAGAAACATTTTGTGCTTGTAAGCATCTGGCTGCTTTTAGAGTCAGATCTTAAAAGTCAAATAAAAGGAGACACTGAGAGTAAAATACTAGGAAGGGTTTTTCTGGTAGAAAACAATCTCAGCTCAACTTGAGTGGTTTACCAGGTTTTTCCAGAATGTTCTTGTTTTATTGACATTTGTTGTGGCAGGTGAGTTTGAGTCTTTACTAAGATAATTTAGGAAATTAGTAGCTAGTGGTACATATTTGTCTCATGGCAGGCTATTCTTGATTTGTCCAGACCTGGCAAGTTGGCTGCCCCTTAGGACTGTGGAAGATTTATTAGGCCTAAATGAAAATAAATAAATAAAATATGATGAAGAACACAATACACATACTGTACTTATGTTATTTATTCAATCACTGTGACATATGTCTTCTAAAAAGTATGTTCCGTTACAAATAAATTGCATTGTTACCTACGTGTGGAAGGAAACATATTTTGTGCTGATGTTCTCCGGTGTGCCCAGGCTTTGATTTTAAAGCCGTAAGCACCTTCTGACTTTCTGAAACCGTATTCTGTCCAGCAAATTGAACAGAAATGGAGCCAAGTGGTGGCTGCTTTTACTATTTACTTTCATGTTCTGGTGTTTTTAGAGCAACTCAAATGTTGTTAACTCTCCGAAATGGAAAGACAGTTGGCTGAGAAAACAGCCTCTAATTGAAGCTCAATTCAATACAAAACTGTTTTTTGGACATTTCTCAAGTTCCGACAGGGTATGCTGGCCCAAATTTCTCTGTAGACATTATTACATTACATTTAGCTGACACTATTATCCAAAGCAACTTTTAATACGTGCAATAAACCGTGAAGATAAAAACTCAGAAAAAACCCTGCACTATACTTCTTCAAAAAAGCCAAACCATTTAACTTCTGGTACATTAGTTTAAATTGAGCTAAAACCCTTAACCCTAACCCTAACCCTACACATTGTTTGGTTTAATGGCCAAGGTGCAGTGGAAACAGGTGGGAGTGCAGTGGAAACAGGTGGGAGTGCAGTGGAAACAGGTGGGAGTGCAGTGGAAACAGGTGCGAGTGCAGTGGAAACAGGTGGGAGTGCAGTGGAAACAGGTGCGAGTGCAGTGGAAACAGGTGGGATTCCAGATATGTAGTTTTTCTACAGTCTTGATAACGGGGAGGCGTGCGGCGCAGTGGATTAGTGCATTGGTGTTGGGATCAGGGGGGCACAGGTTCAAACCCCACTGCAGTCAGCATGTCGTTGTGTCCCTGGGCAAGACACTTCACCCCAAATTGCTCCTGTGGGGATTGCCCACTGTATTGAGTATGTAAGTCGCTTTGGATAAAAGCGTCTAACAAGTAACATGTAATATATCAACGGGAACCTCGGCCCACCATTTTGCAGCAAAGTGTGTTTGTCTTGAAGGGTACCTAAGGGAGTTGCAAGCTGTTTCTCCGATGGAGAGCTAAGTGAACATGGAACGTTCTGTGTGATAGGATGCCAGTGTTTGAGCACAGTCTGAGTTCAGTGTAAAGGAAATAAGACTTTGAGGCTCTGTGTGCAACCCTGTCTCCTAAAAATTAAGTTCCCACAGAACTAAACTGCATTCTCAATTACGTTTAGCTAGAAACGTATTCTCTCCCACGTTACGTTCGTTATGAACGTATCTCAAATACGTTTATTTCTACATATCTTCTAGAAACGTCTTTTCTCCCACGTTACGTTTCTCATTTTAGAGCACACATTTGAAATCAGTAGGCGAGGCTGTAATTTCGCCAGCTGTTATGAGCGAGGCAGAAAATAATAGTTTTTAACATGCCAAAAAGCTGCTGTGTCGTTTATTGCACCTCAAACATTAAAACAAATCCAGAGTTACTTGTTTCTGTACTTCCTCTAAGAAGAAAGGACAGTAACAGAAGATTTCTGTGGCTTCAGGCTTGATCGCCGTTCAAATGACAGC